GTTTTTTTAATATCCGTACTAATTTTTTTAATGAATTTGATAGCGTATTTCTGGAACAAATGTACAGCAGTTGTGTTGTGATGTAAACAGTCAGATATGCAAACAAAATTTTTTATTTGTAGTTTTTTATTTTCATCACGGTGGTATATTACAAACGGATGAATTGTTGCATGATTATTATTCCAGTGAATACTTTGAACAGAGTTTTGAACATCAAAAGCATAATTTTAGGAAAAATCACATAAAACTATTCATTCAGTTTTTGTTAAGTTGTTTTTCTTATCATTTAAAAACTCTGCCTGTTTTTTAACGATAAAAAAATGCAACAGCAATTTGTCTAAACCATCTGTTAAGAATTCCAAATATTCGTCTATTTGGGATGTCAAAGTTTGTAATGTGCTTCTCTCTTCACGAACGCATTGTTTGTATGTAACGGTGTCAATCATGTTGTCATCTCCAAAAGTTGTTCTGTGATATTTTTAGTTCCAGGACATTTGGCGCAGGTTCCGAAAACATTCTGTGCGTAAAGTATTGCAAATCATGTGCTGTAGGCAATCTTTATAGTTATTTATCGGCTTTTTACTGCATGCAGTCAGTGCTTTTATATTCACTCCATCTACCATTAATCGTACGTTTTTGTGTATGGAGCATACACAAACAGAATGTGTGCCGCTTGCTCCTGCAAGAACGCAATGTTGTGGTCGTAATGATGCAAATTTTGAAAAACTACATTCAAGATCTAAATGGTTGAGTTTAAAAAGAGTATGCAACTCCTTCAAATTGTTTAGAATCAGCCGTTTTTGCATTTGTGTTCTTTTTCCGTCAATTTGTAAGGATACGCAGATTTTTATTCCCAGGCATTACTTGACTGTTTTCTTCACATTCGTAAAAATTTTAAATTCTATTGGTTACATATTTTCTTAGCGGTGGCTTTTTGGATTTGGGTCTTCTAAGATTCTTTTCTCTGAAGTAAGTTTTTTAGCAACAGTAGTCATACATTTTGTAGCGTTTGACCCTTTCGGTCGTGACCCTTTCGAATAGACCAATTGTGTATCACACCCACTATTTTTATTTTCATAGTTCTATCTGCTGTGCCATTAAACTTTTCCTGCAGGTTTTTTTAAAATTGATGCGAGTCATCTTCTTCATCGCTATTCTTAGAGTTATCCGCAGGAATATTAAAAATTTTAAATTTGTGATTTATTTATTCAATAAAAATACTTCTGAGAATACTAACGTCCTTAAAAGTTTCATTTTTATATAGAATTTAATGATAAACTCAATTCAGAAATAAAAAGTAAAAGTTTTTGTATCGTTTTCCTTCGAAAATTGATTTCATGGTACTTTGGTGCGTATGAGTAACGTGAAGGACACCTGATAAATTAATTTTTTTTAATTACTTCTAAAATGAATATCACAGTGGAAATATTTATTTTTGAAGTAGAATTTATATATTAATTTGAATAAAAAATAAAAGAAAAAATTTGTGTGGTATATTCCTTTCTTTTGTTTTTTTTTACTGAAAAATAGTGTGTATGTGTTTGGTGTGATATGAAGGATAAATAAATTTTTAAAAGTACTTCTAATTACAATATCGTCCTGAAGTTTTTGGGTTTTATGTAGAATCTTATTACTAATCGAAATCAAAAATATTATATAAGGATATATGTAGTATATTCTTTGAAAATTCATTCAATGAAAATGTAGTACACATGTGCTTGATGTGTTTTGCGGGTGAAAAAAAAATATTAAAAAATTTCAAAAAATAACCGCATCACAAAAATTTTTATTTCGTAGTAACTGAATCTAAATAAAATATAAAAAATGGAATCCCAGGGGATATATTTTAAGAAAAATTTTTTTTTGAAATTTAATAGTTAATGTTAGTACTTAAATATAAACAATTTTAATTGTTTAAACAATTTTACGGGTCTTCTTATTTTATGAAAGGAGCTCATAAAAAAAATTTCAGCCAAATCGGAGATCATGAGGTCGAAAAGGTGTCCGAGTTGTAAAAGAATGACCCATTTACACATGAGAATTTTTTCTCACACTTTTTTGTGAAATGCGAAATTTGTTTGTGTAATAGTAACATTTGAAGTTTTAAGAAATGCATTGACAAAAATCAAAAAATTTTGATATTTCTTCAAACACGCTCGTATTTTTGCGTATACAGTCGGATTTTGTCGGCATGTAAAATTTCATTTATTTTGAGAAATGGAAGCGTAAACACCGTTTAAATGCACGCATAATTTATCGTTGGCATGCAATGCTTTGCAAATATGAATGAATTGTATCTTGTATTTTAAATATTTGTATTTTCTACCTAGGTAAAATTTCTTAATTTTCAAAACATGTTATTAAGAAGAATTAAAATATTAATAACCTTGGGCTACCAAAAATAAATAAATAACCAAACATTAAATTACAAGAAATATTTTATTTTAAATATTATTTGTATTGCCTACCTACGAAAAATTTATTACTAAAACATATCAAAAAAAAATCAAAATATTAAACAATATAACATATAGTATAAAAAATAAATATTGTTACGTAATCGCCTGTATGCGTGTACGTTCGAATCACAGGATTTTGTAAAGTGAAACAAACCTACTTAATTAGAGAAACTATGCTTTATTTTGTAAGTAACATAGTATTAAAAAAACTTGTATTTTACTCGAAGCAAATTTAGGAAACACAACTCAACTAAAACCAATTCCAACTAACTTTTAAATATCAACTGACATAATTAAATAAAATTTAATCGTTCCATTGCCTATCTGATTAAATTCGTAACAATATGTAAATTAAAGTTATAAAAATAAATATATAAATTAAATATAAAACATCATTTTTCGTTACGAAATTACGCATAGCAGCCGCTGTTGACACTTTAGCAATTTCTTTAATACTGATGAATGAACAAATTTTGCATTGTTTGCTGGGGGCGTGTTTAAAAAATTGTTGAAAAATTTGGTGTGTAAAGGCGAGAGACGACTTCGTGCGCTGTCAGCGGGCAATGCTGTCTAATGGCCACTTTACTTGAACGGGCGTCGAACACAATGCGCATTTTTGTTGTAATTTTATCTTCTCTGTACACTGGACGGTGCGGTATGTAATAAATTCTCTTATTACTATGACCATCTGGTACTTCCTTTGCTATTTCTATTGCTATATCTACTATTCTATTATTTCTACTATTAGTTCACGCATTCCAGTGTCGTATTCGATTAGTTTATTATGATCTTTAAATAATTTAGAACTTTGAGCCGATTTAGAGAATTATTTTTATTATTATGAAGATAGACATCTTTATCGTATTTACATGGTAGGCTTATAGCATTGACAGTCGAGCGTACTAAATTATCATTAAGCTGCCTTAAATGATCATTTTAAAAATACCCTGACAGACGGTAAAAATTATCATTAAGAAGTTGCGCCGTCCATGCGTGGCGCTTGAGTTTATTAATTTAAGTCATCTAAAATCAAAAGAAATATAAAATATATAAAAAAAATATAAAATATATCAAAAAAATATAAAATATATAAAAAAAATATAAAATATATAAAAAAAAATATAAAATATATAAAAATATAACGAGTACTTACATTTACCAATGTTTCCAAACATGTTTTGCTTATATTTTGACAACCAAATAGCCAAAATTTAGAAACGTCAAAATCGTTTGTATCTTCGATAACATTCAATACATATTTCGTTGGAGTTTGATTATCTGAACAGCCTTGAATTGTTCAACCGAAAAATGTTTCAACTGCAACTAAGTTTTCAGTAATATATTCACAATTATCACAACATTTTCGGCCATGTTTTTAATTTTATCATATATGTCACCAGGAACTGATATAACATCAGCACATATATTTTGCACAACGGAAGCATGAATTTCTTTAACCTCATCGGAATATTGGCTTTGCACTTTTAATATTACGCGTTTTATTTGCTTAACATTTCTATTGTGGCTACTTTAGTCAAACGAAATAAATCGTGTGTTTTTAATACCTACAACCGGTAATTGTAGCTGCTTTGCCAAATATTCGGTAACATATGTTCCTTGACTTTCATTGTCCATAATCATTAGATTCATCACTTGAAACTATCGCTTTAGCGGTTTGTAAATAAACTTCATTTTTTCCAACATTTGACAGCAAAGATGATCCAGTTCATTGAGCGGATCATGTTTGCTGAAACGCAGCTATTGAAATTTAAAGGAAGTTATTGCTTAAAAAAATAGCTAATATCAAAAGTAGGATTGGGAAGTGGGAAGAGAAATTTTTAAATATTCTAACTAAAGAAGACAACCCCAACGTAAATAAAATTTTAGGTAAGTTATTTATAGTTAATATGATAAGCAAACAGTTAAAAATATTCTTATTTTTGAAAAAAGCGCAATTTAATTTAATTTAATTTAACTTTAAACAAAAAACTTTAAAAACACCAATTTTTTGTGAAAAATATGTTTAAAGTGACAACACAACAAATGTGAGCACAAACAAAGCAGCTTAACTTTTTCGAAGCAATTGCTCACAAAAAATTAAGAAACTTGATTTTTATGCATACGAAACCTACCATTTACTCACAATGAGCTTTTCAACAAAAGTTCAATCAATAAAATTGAGAATTTGCTAAAGCTCTTTTTTGCGAGCACAAGCACAAAATTTTTATGCATGCCACCTTGAGCACATACTCAGAAAATGTGAGATCAGAAAATGTTCAAATTAAAAAAAAAATTTATAAGCAGCGTTTAACTACAATAAATATAGGAAATGATAAAACGTTGTATAGATTTTCAAAGAAAAACATTCAATGGTTAGTGGATTATTTTTTGCCTTCAACTAGTGAAACACGTGGTGGAGGCTTGGATGGATTCACAAAAATGTGTACATACCTTAGATTTTTGGCGGATCCAGGTTTTCAATGCGGAATTGGGGAAGATATCGGTATTCATCAGTTCACTGTATCACGCATAATTAGAGAAATGGCTATTATTATTTCGCAACGTGCAGCAGAATGGATAAAATTTCCGAAAACAACGACTGAATTTAAGGCAGAGCAAACGTTATGGAACACGAAATATAAAATGCCATTTGCAGTAGGAGCAATTGATTGCACACATTTCAAAATAAAAAAACCTTTGAATAATTCTGATGAATACATTTGTCGAAAAGGGTTTTATTCAATAAATGTGCAAGCAACATGCAATGTTAATGCATTGTTTACAAGTGTCGATGTTTCTTGGCCTGGTTCTGTGCATGATTCTCGAATTTTTAAAAAAAATTCGGTGCACAATGTGATTAAAAGCAATGATGTAGAAGCATATTGACTTGGCGATGAAGGATGCGGTATTGCGCCATGGTTAATGACACCCTTTAAAAATCCATCAAATCCCATTGAAGCCTTATATAATTCCACAATAACAAAGGAAAGAACTATCATTGAACGTTGCTTTGGTCAATTAAAGCAGAGGTTTGCATCATTTCAATATAAAATTCGTGTTGATATAGAAATTGTACCACAAATAATTATAAGTGGTTTTGTTCTGCATAATATAGCAAAACATCTTAATGATACATACCAGTATTCAACAGATTTAGAAAGTAACATCGAAAATGTAGTG